AGAGAGAGAGAGGGAGAGAGGGAGGACCGCAGGTGATTGTGCGCGCTCGGGGACGGGGTCTGCACCCCTGTTCTCACACCTGATAGCGAGAGAGACAGAGAGCGACAGCAACAGCAGCAGGTCAGTGAGTGAACGAGTGATGAGACCAAGAAGTCACCACAAAGATGCTGAGGGTTAGTGAGACTTAGAGAGTGGTTGTGGTCAAGAGGTTCACCGTTCAGCCCAGCAGAATGGGAAGGGGACATTGCCAAGAAGGTTTTACCAGCAAGTGCAAAGGGGCGAAGACGATCGGGGCCATGAGAGAGGAGGCGAAGCAACAGACAGCGTGGATTCGGTGTACTCTTGGTTTCAATTCGGCTTAAAATTCTCCAGACTCACCAGTTGCGGTTTAGCTCACTGTGAAGTGCTCTACCCACGGTGCTGGCAGGGACGCAGCGGATTCGCTAATCCAGAAGCACGCAGCGAGAGGAATGCCGGAAGACCGACAGGACCCGAGAACATGTTTGCTTTGGAGTTGTGCTTCTTTCACCAGGTCATGAGTTGAGTAGAGAGTGGCCTTGCAGGTCACTGACCCATTGCACCCCACTGTAGCAGATGCTAAGCCGCTACGCCGTGCTCGGAGGAAGCTGTTCGGGCAAAAGCAGCAGCAGTGTCTTGGGCAGCAAATGCCATGTCCAGGAGAGCCCTGTAAACAGTTTTTGCGGTCGCAGAGGACTGCAGAGTCTCGGATGTAGATCTCGCGTCCCAGGATTGCATGGTTTCTGTGTCATGAATACTTCCAGGCCAAGCCAGCCGCCCTCGAGGCACTGAGCGCCGCGCGCAGCCGTCTACGCGGCTCTGGGAGCCTTTGCTTGTAAAGAACTAGCAGAATCAATGGCTTCTGATTTGGTTCCTTTCTACTTCGTAGGCCACGAAAACTCGTCGCTGAGTGTATCCTGAAAGCACGTGAGTCTACAGTTCAATTTGAATCCGATCGACCTAAACCCTAATCCAGCAAGGACGGCAGACTGGCTGCCGAATTGGGTAAGACGCCAAGACATTCTGCAGGCAGCCAGCACGTGACCTCTCATTGTATGGGTATGTCAGACTTGGTAGTTGCGAGGCAGAGCGCGCCTTTTCGACGAAGCTAGCGTAGATGCGGCGAAATGCCCTGCTTACAGTCGGTGTGTGGCACCGGAAGCTCAAATCCACGGAGACTCCGAGATCCCTTTGAAACCGAGGTAGTGCAAGTATGTGCAGGTAATACCAAGTACTCAAACATCTAGGACATTTTCAGGTGGGTAGTTACCGTTATAGGAGCCTTATAGCAGGTCTATATACCTTATCGAAGCCCTATATACCCTAAACTCCCCACTAGTTTCCTTTAAAAACATACCTCGGGGCTCGGGGTTTCCGAATTTCCTCTCTTCAGAACTCTCTGGCTGCAGGCAGCCATAGCCCAAATCGATTCCAGCGAGGTGCGGCAGTTGCCACAGCTGTTTACTTCTTGAGACCGACTGTTTCGATGTGATGATCCGGTAGAGCATCTTTGGCAGAGCCGCAGTTGTAATGTTCTTCCCCTGGCAGGATGCAGATGATGCCCAGGCGCGCGGGAAGGCACAAGAGAGAGATGCAGGCACCGAGACTGCAAGCAACAAGCTTACACTCTTATACATGATGGGCACAGCCGGCGTCAATCCGGAAAACGCAGCCGATCGTCCCGACTCTGGATCGCTGCGAGTGATGACAGTAGCAGTGACTGGTAGTAACACTGCTGAGGCCAGTGGCTGCGGCAGCATTCAGGAAAAGACGCAGGCAAGTGAAGTTAGTTCAGCAGTGCAGCGGTGCGAGAGTGGTCTCAGTCTGCATGAGGAATCTTCTCAAACCATGGAATCACTCTGGAGTGATCGAATGTTGCGTACAGCTCCTGAGTTGAAAATTCCATGCCTCTGATGAACATGGAGGTCAAGAAGGCTTGTTTGGCGAGCTGGCAGACGGTGAGTGCATGATGCTTAGCTGACAAAATCCGTATGCCAAGCACTCTGCAAGCGTGGCTAGCAGTATGATAGCTTACGAGCCGCTTGCTGTCACGCATTCCCGGCAGACATGCGCAGACCGCTTGCAGAGAGCACATACATGGAGGATCGAGAACCCGTTTCGAACCGGCAATGGGGGACTGCCCTTGTCAGTGTAATCCTGCACCTGGCATTCTCATTCCCCGCCCCAGTTTACCGGCATGCAATCGTAGATCATATGATCCTCCCTTTGTGCGGTCGAATTTCGCTCGATATGCACAAGTGGGTGCACAGCTGTTGCGGTATGTATGACATCGTGTCGAACACTCTCACTGTTTGCTTTTGCAGTGCGCGCGTCTCAGCTCAACACCAAGGACATTCATATCCAATTTGAACGTCCTGGGCTGTGCAAGCCGGAGAACGGTTCCCGAAGGCTCCAGACGTCAAGTTGAGCCGGCTTCGTTGCTGAGCGGGTTTGCATTATTCCACGCCGAAGCGTCCTACATTGCTGTGCCTACATCCCGTGCCCTACGTCCAATGAGCCCTGAATCCTGAATCTCCAACAAAACCTTCTGGAACTCCATTGAAGCCTAGTTCTCCCCATGAGGAGCGCGGTATCACAGCCCCGTTGAAGACCAGGCTGAATCCTTCCCGATGCAGGCATCAAGGCAGAGGTTGATGGGCTCCTGCTGCGCGGGGATCCTCCGGAGTTGGCAGCGCCTCCCACCCGCAGAGAGAGAAGCCGCCTCTGACTCCTACGGTTCTTTTTTTTTGGGGTTTAGGGTTTAGGAGCTCACCACCGACAAAGTCAGACAATGTCCCAGAGTTAGAGCCTTCTGTGCGCTACCCAGCCTGCCGCCGCGTGCTCAAAAAGCGCCGAAGCTCGAGCCAAGGATTGTTGAATGCAAAGCCGGCACTGCAATCTATGGTGACCTGCAAAAGCTGGATGCATTGCTGGAGTTCCTTGTTGCTTGCCTCGAGGTTTCAGTGATTTCTGCCTTCCAGCTGCTTCGAAATCTCGTAGAGACGCAGCTGGTGGTCTTGGAAGTTGGAGTGACCGGACATCATCTTCTCGCTGAGTCGTTCCCGCTACGAGTCGCCTGCTTCAGTTCAATTGTGGCTGCCAAGGAGTCGGGCGACGAACAGGTGGCCCACTTTCAGGTAGCGAAGCCAGGAACAAATGCACCGTCGGCACCCCAGGAATCAAAGGACATGCAGTAAAGCGCTGCCTCTCAGAAATATCAATTTCAGTTTTTGGCAGTTCAGAGCCCCCTCGTTGTGATCTGCGTGAGTATGATATCATTCGCTGAATGTAGTCTGCATGGGGAGTTCCCTTTTTCAGGCAACAGTCAAGTCTGAGTGAATGGGCATGCCGAGACGAAGAGCACGTGTGAGGCGAGAGCTAGCTGTGCAACTTCCACCGGACGGCGCTCGTTCGGTCAAGGCCTCCTTCATGAACTTTCAGTGATCATACTGGGGTTGCTTTTGCGAGCTGATGGATGATCGCTTGCTGCACTTCTCGGCATCCTTTCGAAGGTGAAATACTTCTTGGGTGGTCTTCCCGAAGATGACGCAGGCCTGGCCTTCGAACTCCACCAACAGCCTAGAGGCTTAGAGAGGCCTAGGCCTAACGGCCCGGTTGATTTTCTGTATGACTGAGAGATCTCTCGGCAGGCGAGAACTCCTTGGCGAGTCTGCTGAGGACCGCAGTCGAAAGCCAAGAGCCCAGGGCCCAGGGCCTCGAGTTTGAAAGCTGCTCCAGGCCTTCGGTGGCCTCGCAAGAGAAGGGCAAGCTGCTCTTCCGGTCGTGACTCCCTGAGCATGTGATCACCCATGTCCAGCGGTTTGTAGCAGAAAGTGTGACTGTAGCATGGGGGCTAGGCAGTGAGACTGCCGCCCTCCCGAGAAAAGAGGACGACCCCCTTTTGTCCGAGGTTCCCTCCAGGGCAGCAGCTTGAGGAAAGCCGCCTGGAGCTCTTAGCTCGATGCTCAGAGCCGTGTCCAAAGAGGAGCTGAATGTGGGCATAACCCACATCATCGCCCCTTGGGCTTTTCTTGCCAAGGATGTGCCGCCTGACACCTGGCTGGTACAGGCCACCATGGCAGAGGCCGAGGCAGGGGGTGCCCTATTTGAAGCCTCGGCGCCTAAGCCTGGGTTTTTCTCTGAGACTCAGATCCCCACGAGGTCGTGAAGGCACAGCAGCGCGTGGACGAGTTTCTCGACGACGTACGCCGCCGCTACGAGCAGGGCCGCATCTCCTTCTTTGTGCGAGAGAAAAAGTGGAGTCCCAGAGTTGCGTTGTTGTGCCGCCCCGAGATATCGAGTTGAAGCCGTCAGGACCGCATGCTCCCGAACTTCGTTCAAGTTCGCATTGAATACTGGATAAGATAAGCTCCGGACCATGGACGCCACGCATCCCATTCGTGCTGCGAGCCCGACACTCTAAACCAATCCCCCCACCCATGGGAACTCTTGATTAATAACCCCCTCCACTCCAGCGCGAGGTAGGTCGGCCGGTGGCCCAGATCGGGCCCCCCCAAATAACCTTTAATTAAGAAAACCAAAAATCCAAAGGAAATCCCAAACCCACGCCAAGCCTGAAGACTAGAATTCAATTTGGGAGGCTTCATGGTGGGTTTTGCAAAGTTTTTTTTGGGGGGCTTTCTGTGGAAGAGGCCAGCACCTTAGAAACATGTTTTCAGCCAGGTCCGCGGTCCGTAATCGGGGGGGGCTTCTTAACCAAGAGTTGACACTATAGTTTGCTGCGTGGTGTGGAATGGAACCTTTGAAGCTAAGTCTCCCTCCCGATCTGCACAAACTCCCTTTCTTGAACAGCTGCCTGTTTCATCGCGCAAGGTTTGGTGAAAGAGTGCGAGTGTCAACCCTGTGCTTACCACCCTTCGATGCCACCGATCCTTCTGCCAATGCGCTCCATGCCATGCATGCCCTGCCCATGCAGGCTCCGACAAAGCTTGCGCCGGTGTCAGGATGGAAGCAGGCCGCAGACAGTTCCCACGCGCTGAGCACAGCACGTTAGGTGTGGCAGACCTGGCAGACCAGGCTGAGAACAAAAAGCCGGCAGGCTCTCAGGCGCCCCATGAAAAGTCCGTGGGTGGCATCTTGCGGATACCTCGCCTCTAGCATCCTTCACTCTTCGTGGTTCTTCCATCACGGAAAGAGATATGGAGAGAAGGGGGCATCGCTCCTCGGACACGAGTAGTGTGGTTCGTTCAGGACATCTTCCTCCGGCCCACGCCCGTGATTTCAGGAATCCGCTTGCTTCCAGCTCCAGGTGCTCCAGTCTGCTTGCTTTGGCGAAGGAAGACTTGCCCAAAGCCCTGCCAGGCCTCGAAGATGATGAAGAAGAGGGCAGTGATGGCGAGAAGATCCGTAAGCCCGTGGCCAGCCGAGTAGCTTGGCCCTGTTTGAGGTTTGAAGGTGGCCCCAGTGTTTGATTTGTGGAACGATTCGTGGCAGGGCAGGCCGTTAAAAGCAGCCTCCGCGGATGATTTGGCACACGTACGAGCTCCACGGAAGGACGCTATTATGCAATAATTCTTGACTTTGCATGAGGTTTCTGAGCAGTCAGAGCATAGCAGTCGTTCGACAGCACTCAATGCGGATATGGATCTAAGCTGGCTAGGAATCTGCTCCGGAGAGGAAGGCCGATCAGGAGGATCTGGCTTTGCAGCCGCACGCATGGGCCAGCAGATAAGGATGTTTAAGGTGCAGCATTGCCAGCCAGAAGAAACAGTCAGGTCATGTGTTTGCAGTTGTGTTCATTTGGCGAACGGAAGCAGAATTTTGAGCACAGGACGCGCCCAAGGCTCCAAGAAAATCAAAGGAGCGGGTTTGGGCAGCAGCAACCAGCAGTCAAGTGCTACTGTAAGGATACACCTGATTTTTGAACAGGCAGTTAGCTCACACGAGTTGGTTAATGTGTGGGGTTACGCTGGCAGGAGTTTTGGGAAAGGACATGTTGATATGCCCGGAGAGTGCCAATCCCGTCCTTCTACTCCCTGATACTGCCTGACCAATACATGAGTACGTCGAGTGCATGGTAGTCTGGCCATAAAGCCAACTCTCATGACGCACAGGAGGACAAAGCTCCAAAGGCAGACGGAGAGCGGGAAAGCAAGGAGGCCAAGGAGAGCAAGAAGAGGCCCGGGATGGCCCGGGAAACAACCACAGATTGGGGAAGTGCGTGAAACCGTAACTGCTTTCGGCCCTTACATGTGAAGCTGTGGAATTGCTAGGCCGCTCCATGCAATGCCTGAGGCGTGAAGACCGGGGCGAAAGCCGAAGCAAAAAGGAGAAGGCAAACACCTGATCTCCAGGCCGCTACGCTTTTTGGAGTAGTCGGTATCGGCCTGGCAGGACCGGAATGGAACAGACCGTGGCCGGGGAGATGATGGCCGCGCTCGGCGAGGAGACGAGGATCGCGATCGGGAACGGAGAGACGAACGGAAAGAGGACCGTAAAGAGGACCGACGAGAGAAGCCTCGTGACGATCGCCGTGATCGCCGCGATGACAAAGATGATCGCCATGAGAGACGAGACGAAGATCGGCGTGACCGACGAGAAGAGCACGACCGACACGATCGGCGGGAGGGGCGCGACAGGCCTGGAAATTCGCCACAATCATGTAGCAAGCGCATTTGTACTACCAGCGTTAAGCCTTTAAACCAGAAGGAAATTGCACAGGTGGCAATCTACCCCGGCATCCGAACTACCGGAAACCCAGCCTCCGACAAAGCCCAGCCGAACACGATTTCAAGTTCAAGGACATTTGTCACTTCTGTCAGGCGAGTGGCTTGAACATGCTTGAACCTCCTGGCAAGTCCACGGCTGTGAGACCTTTAGATTTTGGATTCCGATGACGCGTCCCCAACTTCAACTTGAATCCCCAACAAGACGCGGGCCCCTTCAGTGCCCTGATGTCAGGGATCGTGGTCGCACAGATCGGCGTGATCGAGACAGAGACCGGTGCGAGGCTCAGTGAAGAACACAGCTTCCGTGCACCATGCAATGTGCAACCGGCCTAAGCGTCCAAGCGTGTAGTCCCAAGGGATCGAAGCCGTGATCGGCGCTAGTGAGCCGGCGTTGGCATAGCTTGGCGGTGTATTATTTTACCATCAACCGGACGAGCGCTCTGCGGACAGCCGGGAAGCCTCCAGAGGTGTGGCTCAGCTGGATCGCAACTTGTGAAGAGAGCCCCTGATGCACTGATGGTGTTTGGTGACGGCGTTGACTTCCAGAATCTGCTGTGACAGTAGCTCTAGCATAGTGTACAGCCCGTGGGTGTGAACGATCCAGAATTGTCGGCTAGTTACCGTCGCGACTCTCTGCCCGCCCGCCACCAGCATAGTGTGGGTTGCAAATTGGATTTGCTTCTGCGAGGCCAACGACCGTTGTAGTAGGTAGCAGGAGGCGATCCTGCCTTGCCCAATTATCTCAACGTTTCCATGTCTCGCGACAGCTGTGGACCTCGGGCACCAGAGAAACACAGCGCAGAAGTACTTCTAGATGCTGAATATCCCAACACGACCTTCAGGATTGCCAGGGCATTTCCGCATCAAAGCTTTCACCACGCACTTTTGAGTTCGGGCCTTAGCACTGCGCCATCAGGAGACAAGTGCCCGGCTGCATCTGACGACCGTTGGATTCTGCATTCAGGTTAAGACTACGGCAATCGGCACGATTATTGCAGGTGGACGCGGTCAAGTCACCAGAAGAAGGGCATGAGTAGTGCATTTAAAATAATCGAGCATCATGAAGATGATGCCCGTGTTGATGGTGATGGGGTCGAGGTGGAGAGGTGAACAAAAAAATGTCGATGCTGATGGTGGCGATGACCGAGATGAAAGTGCTTGCTCAGGAGGCGGTGGCAGAGGTGCTGGTGCTGCTGCTGCTGCTGCTGCTGCTGCTGCTGGCTGCTGCTGCTGCTGCTGCTGCTGCTGCTGCTGCTGGCTGCTGCTGCTGCTGCTGCTGCTGCTGCTGCTGGTTGCGGTGTTTGCATGCTGTTCTGATGTTTAGAGCTGCTTCAGGGGTGATATGCCTTTCATTGGGCAGCCACGTGTCTTCGTCGGCCTTATGCTGAGGTCAGAGGAGGGTCGTGAAGATAAGCAAGTAGTGGCAGTCACGAGTACTGGTGGGCTGACTTGGACAGTCAGGGCAGCAGTCGGATCCTTTGTCAAAAATGGGCCCGCATAGCTACAGAGCCCTGCTTCAAAAAACGGCCGATTGGGATGATGCCATAGTTATGTGACAATGTTGATGTTGATGGCGACGAAGGCGATGCCTGCAACTCGAAAGCCAGACGACCAGAAAACAGGTCATAGCACTGAAGCGGTGCCTTCGTCAATCTCCGTGCGTTTGCGAGGATCTTCAACAGCTGTCTGCTGTTTCTCCAAATCTTGCCAGCAGCTGCGCACTCAACGGTGGCATGAGGTGTTTGCCGGCTTTTGCTGCTTCAAGTTTTCATGAAATCAGGAGTCGATGGAGCCGGGTGGTCGGCCGCGCACGAGTACCTTTTCCAGGACAACAAGATTGAGTTTTGTTCTGTTTGGCGGGGTCTCGTGCAAGTTTGCGCTCGGTGTCTAACAGAGTCTCACACCTTGATCTTGAGAATGCCCCCTGCACGCAGGCAACGTGCAAGAGTTCCAAATTCCCAGACACGGAGCACGGATGTAGAACAAAATCAGTTCAAAGGAATAGGCCAGCTACGAAATAGCCCCCAAAACAAGCGCGCGCACGCAGGCACCCAGGCACGCGCGGACGCACGCACGCACGCACGC